TGGACAGACGACGAAGCTCGAGCTCGACTTTTCCCTGCCGAGGTGGGGCGTGAGGCGCGATGGAGGGGGTGGCCGAGAGGCTGTTGTACTTGTCGATGACGCTACGCCAAATGCTATCACGCCATCACCTGTCCTGTCTCCACAGAATGACACGATCATCCGATGCCTCGAACTCTCCCGGCGCCTGCATCAGAGGGAGGAACGGGGGCGAAAACGCAACAGCGCGAAATCGGGCAGCATGGCTCGTGAGCTCGATGCACCTTGCCTCCAGCAGGAATCCTCTGCCCCTGAGCCCTTTCATCATTGTCGCCGTGATCGCGTTGCAAGGGCCAAATGTGAGCTCCTGGAAGCCCGCTCTGTCCGAACATCAAGGGAAGCTGAGAATTGCCCGATGAATGTGACAACCGAGAGCGCCATCAACTCATGCTGCCCAATAGAGTTCACGAGCCCATAACCCAGCCCATGGATGATATTAACACGTTTCGCGAACTTCCTCGCATCAGGGCCCCACAGAGTCATTGCTGCTGCGAGGGCCAAGGTGCCCCCCGAGATAACGAGCGCGTCGACGGACCTGAAGTCCACGAACCTGGAACACACGCTCCGCGAGAGCACCAAGAACATCCGCCCCCGACATCCCATGGAGAATCGCAGCTGTCTTATCGACGTTCCCGAGAAGGCCCAGCGCAAGGCCAGCAAGGGCCCGCGCCTGCATACTTCCAGGAATGCGAGAGCAACGTCCCCCGAGCTGGCCCCCGCGTCGTCGGCGAGCGCACCCGAGCTACTCAGAGGTCGCGGCAACAGGAGGCAGACCTTCGAAGCGCTGGGTCGATCGCCAGTGCAAAAAGCGAGCCGCTAGAAGGGCAACCTTGCTCGATGCCTCGCTGGAGCCAATGCGCGATCCCAAGATGCTGCCCTCGAAGGAAAGCTGAGACCCATGCATTCCGGCACAGACACCACATTGCACGCGCGAAAAAGTTGGGGGCCCCCACGGCGCCCAGCGTCGCGAAGATCGGGGCGCACAGGAGACTGGGGAAAAAAGCGCGCACGTCATCCATAATCACGCCTGCCCTCTCAGCTCAGCAAGCAGATGCAAATGGGCTGCGCGATATTCCAATCCAAACACGTGTTCGTTCATATTTTTTCCTCCGGTAAACTCACGCTGTTCGCTGGTGCGCGTTATTTTGCAGACGCCCGAGGGCGGGCGAATAATGGCAAGCGAGATGAGTTTGTTGGACGCACGCGTCGCCGCGAGGGAGCGAGTGGTCTCAAGGGGCGCGAGCGCATAGATGAGCATCGTTGGGATCGTCGCCTTTCGCCAAGAAGACATTGTGGCCGTAACTAAACCCGCGGCGGTGCTCCCCGCTGTCGAGGATGTGCCGATACAGCTGGCAAAGAACATGTCCTCGGTCCTCCAAGCCTTGGACCAACTAGAGTAAGGGGCGCCGTCGGGCCCTGGAGCGCCGTCATGAGTCTGTTTGCCATCTCCAGGGGCTCCTACTCCTCCAGGGCCCATGGTACAAGGCCGGGGACTTTGGGGGCCCGACCGAGCAACTCCTCGAAAACACTGGCATCGATGTCCACAGCACTGTGGATATTACCCCTATCAGCCTCCGGGTTGAAGATGGGCGTGCCTGATGGGTCGGCGATCTCCTCGATTGAAGAATTGGGCCCTTTCGTGTTCCATGCGGAACGATGCGAGTACATATTGCCCAGGAAGGTTTGCCGATTCTGGGGATGCGCTTCGTTGTCGTTCACAGTCAATTTGGGCGTCGGTCTGCTGGCGTTTCGGACTGGCGAAGAACATGTGGAACCCCACAAAGTTGCTGTAGGAACACGCGGGCCCGTCAATGGACTGCTGGAGCCTGGGGCAGGCCACGAGCGCGCGGCGGAGAACACCTGGGTCTTGGGCCCGGGCAGCCCGCATAGCAGCCAGAGCCCAATACATGCATTTAGCCAACGTCTGGGAACCTTATCGTTCGAGTAGGACCAGGACATTTGTTCAACGAGAGTTCGATGGCGTCCCTCATCTCCTCCACCCGCGCAATGGGAACCTCGGGCCTTTCCCCACCGCCTTCGGCAATTTCCTTGAAAAACCTCTGGAAAGAACTTGTGTTTGGTGACCTAGCGAGGAATACTATGCGTCTCAGACTTACCAGTGGGCGCCAGAGAAACGAAGACGGGCACGCGGTCGGAGAGCTGCGCGATGTCAGCGGCGCAGCCTGTCGTGCCAAAGCTGGGAGCGAGGTCCAGCAACATACCAGCGGGAACCGACATGTATACCCCATCCGGCCCTATGCGCAACGTCGGGTTGCTCGACTGCTCGACACCCGCCAACAACGGAAACAACCGGCCGAAATGTTTTGCAAGACTGTGGGTGGGGGGGACAAGCCGTCCAGAGACCTGGTAGCTGTCTTCGCCGCTTGCAGGAAGGTTAAAGTCTCCGCAGACCGCGAAGGAACACTGGTCGCAGGACTGCAGCAGGCTGCGTACACGAACGAGCTGCTCCTTGCGCTGGCATATGCGTAGACCAGGGTCACTGTGTATACTCAGATTCTGGAGGGCATGTGCACAATTCTAAAGGACGACAGACAAGATACGACCAGTGTGAACGACACGAGCATGAGCATGCTGAACGACGACACGGACCCTCGGATGCACATACATGAGCGTCCCACCTGCACGAGGATTGTTCAGGAACGTTCCCAAACCTGCTGAAAAATGAACTTCGCGCCTGAGAGCTCGGAAACACTCGTACGCACCACGGGACTCCTGAAGACAGACCAGGTCATGCCTCTCGGCGATTTCCACTAACTGTCTAATATTAGCACGGTGAGTGTGTTGTGGTACGTACTGTGCTCCAAAAAGTGGCCTCGCATTCCAAGGGACAACTGCAACCCGCTGCGGCGGGAGAAACGGAGCACATCCAGGCGGCACGCCTGGCCAGTCATCTGATGACGAACTGGAAGAGGAAGAGCTGCTAGAAGTAGAAGAGGAGGGCGAAGCACAGCTGGAGGAAGAGGTGGAGGCCGAACGCGAGCTGCTCGAGCTGCTCAAGCTGCTTGGGGGCGAGACTGCTGCTCGCCGCTTCCACGATGCAGGTCCCGAAATGCGAATTCGATGAACATGAGGCGGTGGGCATTCCGTGCCCCCACGACTCGAAACGCCAGAGAAACCACCAGCAAAGGTCGCTCGGATGAGGCGAACCGCCGTCAGAGCACCCACACCACTACCAGCGCCCACGCCATCGGACGAATAACCACCATCACACGAGCGATCAGCATGCAGTCCAAGACCGTTGGCACGCTGAGATGACTGAGAAGTGAGGACGCTGTCCACCATCTGATGTGATGGATGGACGCGTCAATGAACCCGAGCTTGCGCAGAACTTCCGGGTTTGGCTCCACATCTAACTGCTGCGTGTCCTGGCCCGTGGTTGCGAAAAGCTGCGCACTCTCATCCTGGAACACCAACCAGAGCACACCACGGAATGGCTGATATCCTATTGTACATCCTTCACGCCACGTGCCACTCGCATTTGCAACATCACGCACTTTCGACCACAACGTCCCCAATCTACGTGTCACAGTTCGAATGGCTGATGGACCGTCCATCCTGATCTTGATCAGGAGAAGGAGGAGGAGCAGGAGGAGGAGGAGGAGAACGGTCTGGTCGCCAAGCGAAGGGGAGCAGCATGAGAGGAGCCAGGGGAGGATAGGGAGGAGCAGGAGGAGCATAGGAGTGAGGAGGGGCGGAGGGAGGTGGAGGGGGAGGTGGAGGGAGAGGAGGGAGAGAAGTAACCAGACGAGGAGGAGGAGAATGATGAGAAGGAGGAGGGGAAGGAGGAGGAGGAGGAGAACGAGGAGTAGGAGGAGAGGAGAGACAACAAATGAGGAAGAGGAGGGGGAACAAACGTAGGAGGAGGGCGAGGATGGATGGGGAGCATATGTCAGATGGCACACAGCAGGGTGGAGCAGGGAAAGAGAAGGCACTGAGGGAGGACGTCAAGGTGAAGGATCGCTTTGGAAGGGCAGAAAAGGGGGGTTGGGGATCGTAAGGGCGGAAATCATGAAGACGGAAGGGTAAAGGAAAGGAAGGGAGCGGACACGAGGGCGACGCATTTAAGCAACAAGGTGCGCGTGAAAAGGTCGGGTGAATGGTGGGTGGGAGGGAAGGAAGGAGGGGGAGCGAAAGAGGACGGAAGCAGAGATTCGGGTGGCCAGAGGACGAAAGGAGGAGGGAGGTACGTGGACGGGGTGAGAGGTTACAAGCGAGGCCGCCCGCAAGTATGGCGTGCTCACTGGGTGGGCCCTTTCAGGCAGCCATGCATGATACAGGACATTGTCGTGATGATACCCTTCTCCCCCCTAGGCGCATTTACGAATGGCATGGGGGTAGGTTCGTAGAACTACTGCTGCCGTTTGCGCCCTACGCCGTCAGGTGGGGCCGTCGGAATTAATCCTTGGGCATCTCCCCACCAAGCCATATATGATATTTGTGGCCGCTCTGCTCACCGGTCACATTCGGATGCTTGCGGTCAGGAACTCTTGCTTCGCGTGTCGCGGAGCAAACTCTGGCCCAACAAGTTTCGGTGCGATACGTAAAGCACGTCCCACGTCCAATGTCCCAGCCTCACGTCCCACGACGCAGAGCGACACGCCATCAACGCGCATGACATAGGGTGTTGCACGGGCCACCGCCGCGACACGCTAAGCAACAATTCCTGACCGTATGCTGCTGCTGCTGTTGCTGCTGCTCCTTCCCCTCTCGGCATCCCCAGCCCATGCTCCTCGCCGAGCTCTCACCCATCTTCCTTTCGCGCCCCCTCCCCCTCCAAAGCCTTCCCTCGTCCACCTGCCCAGGATTGCAACAAACTTTCGCGATACGGCATGCTGGCACATTTTTCGCGCGGCAGGTGCATCGTGTGGAGACGCTGCCTGGTCCGGAAGGACGGTATCAGAGTGCTGGTTCCGCAGGGCAGTCGGGCGGCAGACGGCCAGGGATTAAGTCATTGCGCCGGTATCCCGGAAGAACCACGTCGAGTCGTCGCGGTACCACCAGATGCGTCCTTTACGCATAAGGCACTTATGCCCCACCACCGTGCCTGGCCAGGGCACTCCTGCGCCCTGGTCATGCATGGCAGTAGTGGCATATGTGCGCACGCCTGTTGCAGATCCTTGATCGTCGCTGAAGCGCTGCCAGTCAGCCGCGTCGTCCTCGAAGAACCACTCCCCGTCGCCACGCCACCACCAGATCCTCGGCGGGCGGGTAGCAAAGAGCACCTGCCCGCTGGCGCCTGTAAGACCGAAGAGAAAAAGGAGGACCCAAACTAGAGGGCAGTATAACCCACCTCATAAGAAGCACGCACACGTGCGAATTCGTTAAGCAAACGCACCGGATGAAGGAATCGAGAAGGACCAGACGGTTTTACAAACGCCCAGACTTTCTTAGTATAGTAATCCCAGCGTGTGGGGGGGGGGTGGCGGGGAGGTTTTTCCTGGGCGAGCACACAGCGGCTCGGGTATACCCTGACATGGGCCCCTGGACATCTAGACCCCCTGCCCAGGCCTGGCTCTTCATCCCCAGTCGTCTCTTCATCCCCAGGGGTAGTAACCGTCACCTACGGGCCCAACGTTGGACCGAACATTCGAAGAAGCGCGGTCCACCGTCGCTGGCCTGAAACATTTCTCTAAGGATAGGGTCAGAAACCATGGGGGCTCCCCCCCTAGCCTCCCCCCCCCCCTCGGAAAGAACCCAGGGGGTCCTAGACCCCACCCCCTCGGGAAAATTACTCGGGGGGTCTAGGACCCTTCCGGCCAATGGCAGCGACGAGCGACAACGACGACACATACGACGAGGGCGACGACAGCGACAACGTGAACGGCGGCGGTGCACCTGTCGTTCACGCCCGGGCCAGGCGCAAGCTCTGATAGCATGCTACGAGGGCTCGATCAAGCTGTTTTTGTATCCTACTAAGACCCTGCTGTGCTTGACCCTGCAGTGATCTACTCTCCTTTCCTCTCCTCTACTCTACCCCATTCTACCCTAGCCTACGCTTCTCTACCATACCGTACCCTAACTTACTCTACTCTATGATTATGTGCTCTTACTCTACTCTCCCTTACTTTACTCTACTCTACTCTACTCACTCTGCTCTGCTCTACTCTACTACACTATGACTCTCCTACCCTACCTTATGTCACCCTGTGCAACTCTACTCTACTCTTTTCCACTCTACTCTACTCCTTACTTTACCCTACTCCTACAATTCTCTCCTTATCGTCGTCGCCGTCTTCGTCGTCTTCGGCGTCGCCGTTCTCGGCCTCGTTGCCGTCGTCATCGTCGTCGCCGCCGTCGGCGTCGTCGTCGGCGTCGGCGTCGGCGTGGGCATAGTCGTCGTCGCCGCCACAGCCGCCGCCGTCGTCGTCGTCGTCGTCGTCGCCGTCGTCGCCGTCGTCGTGTATCATCGCGCATCGTGCATCGTGCATCGTGCGTCGCGCGTCGTGCATCGTGCGTCGTGCGTCGCGACTCGTCGTCGTCGTCGTCGTCGTCGTCGTCGTCGTCGTCGTCGTCGTCGTCGTCGTCGTCGTCGTTGTGGTCGTCGCCGTCGTCGTCGTCGCCGTCGCCATCGTCGATGCCAGGGGGGCTGAACCACCCGAAAAATGTTCCTGGGAGGGGGGAATTCTTGACCCTTCGACATTTGTTTTCGGGGGGGGGCGGCAAGGTTCCGGACCCCCCACCGTCTTTTCTTGGGGGGGGGGTTTGCACCCCCCCTGCGAGCAGCGGCAGAAACCGCCCTTTCCAACAGTAAGAACGACCCCGCAGGAGCCTGGACGACCTGAAGGGGGTGAGTGGGTACCCCAGGGGTCCTTTCTGAGCCCTTCTCAGCGTCTGAGCCCACTCGGCCGCCGAGTGCACTCAAGATCAAGCCCGTTCGGCGGACGAGTGGGCTCGCGACCCTCAGCTGCCCATTCGGCGGCCGAGCGGGATCGGGCGCCGAACGGGCTCGGAAAGAAATTCTGGGGCAAGGAAAACGGCGGCCAAAGGTGAAGCATCTGCGCGCAGCCAGTTGTTCCTGCTGGCAACACGGGGCCGCGCAACGCGCACGAAAGGGATCGACGAGAGCTCGGGGACACCAAGACAGAGAGAGCGCGTCCGGTGCCGCGGACCAGTGAGGGCCCCGCAGAGGCCGAAGATAAACCAAACGCCTTCCGTCGTGACGTTCTTCTCTTTGTACGATGCCACGAGCTCGGGCTCCTCCGCCCCCCCCCTTCCCTGAGATCCGACGTAACGAAACACGTGCAGCTTTGCGGAAAATCACGGCCCGAGCCCCAGACCCCATCTCTCACTCTGCGGCACTCTGCGAGCCGTGTCGATCTGTGATGTTCCAGTGAGGGGCAACGACAAGGGACAAGGGGGGACCAGCTCACGGGTGGGAAACATCGAGCTAGAATCGGCGATACATCGCCAATAGATCGGCGATAGGCCACCGATAGCGGATCCGCACGCTCCTGGGTAGGGTGGGGCTATCGGGCCCCTATCGGCGATGAATGGGCGATTGAGGGTCGTCCCCCTAAGCCTATCCCACCCCCACCATTGCTCTTGACCCAGGGGCCCGAATACCGGCGACAACGCCCGGTATGACAAACATTGCACCGCACAGACCTCTGATGGCTGCGACTTGCAACAATTGCAAGGAGGCTGCCCACTTGCTGGACGCCTGCAAATTCGTTGCAAGTCCGCCTAGCTGCTTCAAGTCGGGTCCGCGACGTACTCAGACTTGGTTCAGTTAGGCGGACATGCAGCCATTTGCAGGCGCCCTGCAAGTGGGTTGCAACCAGCTTGCAACTGTTGCACCGGTTGCACGTCGAACCGACCACTACAGCAAGGTTCCCTCATGAGATCGAGGTCCTGCCGCCGTGGCCCCTGTACTTCTGCCACTGCGCCGCCTCGTCGCCGCGGCGAACCCCAGGAGCGGCGGCGGGCGGCTGGCCAGCGGCCTGCGGAGCCGAGCTGGCCGCCGCGGCGCCTGAGCCGGGCTGCGACGGCGCCGCCGCCAGGCGCCCCGCCCCGCCGCTCGCGCCTGGCACAGCGTACAAAGCCGTCAGCGTGCCGCCTGGGCCGGCGCGGTACATGTAGCCGTCGTCGCCGCAGAGGGCCGTCGCCCCGCCGCAGGGGTGTTGCGGGCTCGCTCTCGGCGCGGGCGCTGCCGCAGCGGCCGATGGCCTGGCGCCGGCGGCGCGCGGCGCGGCCGCGGCGCCCTCTGGTGCCGACGCGGGCTCAGCGGGGCAGGGCGCCCGCTCGGCAGCAGCAGCCGCAGGCTCGGCCGCTGCCGGCTCTGCGCGCGCGGCGCCCACGGCGGGGCCGGCGGCAGGGGACGTTTGAGGCGCCGCGGAGGCGGCGGCAGGGCCGAGCGCTGCAGCGCCGCCCGCGCTGCCTCTGCAGCCTCCGCCAGCCGCGGCGTCTGCTGGCCGCGGCTGCGCCTCGAGGTCGCGCCCTCCCCTGAGCGGCGCCCCGTCCGTCCCCTGAGCGGCGCCGTCGGCCAGGCGCGCGTGGCCCGCCGCTTGCTGAAACACCAGCGGGGGGGGCGGCAGACACGCTTCTCCCCCTGGCGCCGGGCAGCCGCGCTCCTCGCGAGCGGTTGATTTGCAGGGTGGACTTAGCAAGGCTGACGGTGAAGGGGCCCTCTCCCAACAGCCCACCCGCACCCCCTTTCCGCCGATGCCTCGCTCCTCCCCCACCCATCCATTCTTACCTCGCTCACCTCTCACCCTGACCCTCTGTGCCCCCCTCCCACCCTGGGCGTGTTAGGAGGGGCGCAGGCACCAGGAATCACCTTGGCGACGCTGGGATCCAACGATGTTCATTTCTTCCATATCATATGCAAGCCGGGAGCGCCGCATATGACAACTTGCTGCAGGAAGGCCCATGCAGTCAACCGCAGCCGCGGACATTGAGGGTGGCATTTGCGCGGATGTTTCGCCATCAGCCCAGACACGCACGCCTGTTTCGCCACTGGGCAATCTCCCGATCGTGCGAGGCACTCACCTTAAGTGAGCGTTGGGCTGCACCCGAATTCGGCCGCGGTCGAAAAAACGGACCAGCCACTCGCCGAAAGGGCAAGTTGCTGGGGGGCGATGTTGTGACCACTTCAACGGCGGCTTCCGACGATCCAACAATAATGCCCCCCACGTCTAGGCCGCGGTCCAGCATGAATCGTGTGGCCGTTGTCTGGCTGTGATGTTCCGCGCGGCTGTGTTTAGCGGGCGGAAACGGTCGCTGCGACACAATCAATGCGTCATGCTGGTGCCGTTGGTAGCAAGATGGCTGGCTGCATGACGTGCCACCTCGGTTTTACGGGTGCGTGTGTGAATGTCTGGCAGAATGGAGAAAAGGAAAGACAGAGAGAGAGGGAGGGAGACGAACAAATAGACAGAGCGAGAGAGAGAGAGAAAAAAAAAACAACAAAACATTAAGGGGTGTATACAGGATATACAGGCATAGGGGAGAGAGAGAGACAGAGAGAGTTAACAACAAAAACAACACAAACAAGCGGGAGAGAGTGAAAGAGAGAGAATACCAACAATCAACAACAAAAAACAAGGGAGACAGACAGAGAGAAGGACATGTACTTAGAGCAGGTCAAACGGAGGCGTGTGTGCGCCGAGCTGCTCGACGGCACAGTTCAGGCATGCTGAAAGGCAGGGCGAACGCAGACGGCAAGCGACACCTGGGGGAGGCGCGCAGCGGTGGAGGGGCATCTTAACGCACAGCGTAAAGGAGCGGCGGGGGGGATAACACAACACACCGATGATAAGCATGAAGGCGAAAGCGTGCGAGGAATGACAGAAGGGGCAACGAATGAAAGGTGGCTTTGGAGGAGAAACATGCCTATATTATTGGACGCAGCCTGCCAATGAACCAAGGCAGGCAGGCTACGGCGCCCGAGCGTCACTACCAGAGCGTGCAATGTCATTGGCAGTGCCACCAGCAACGGGCCGACCGTGGAAAGAACCAAATCCGTTTGACAGGTACTGGTCAAGGGCATTTGGGTTGCATGCAAGCTGACTGCCTGAGCTCGATGGATGAAGCGTGGCTGATGGTATCCAAGCGAAACGCGCAATGAATGTCATTGCCCGGGCGCGCAAAATATGCGGCATGTTGCCAAACAAACGTGCCATGCGCTTGCACGCGTCGGGGCAAGCTGGGAGCCAAGCGCGGTGGCAAATCACACGCCTTGCCCCACACAAAACGCAAGTCTGGCAAGCCGACAAGCAGAAGGCGTCAGTCGATCCTCGCAGCTCCAATCCCCGGCCGTTCCAAATTCAGTTCTTCCCTAAGCTCGCGCTCTTCCGGCTTTCCATCTCTTCTCTCCTCCTCCTCCACCTCCTTCTCCTCCTCCTCCACCTGCTCCTTCTCCTCCTCATCCTCCACCTGCGCCTCCTCCTCCTCCTCTCCCCACTCCTCCTCCTCTTCCACCTCCTCCTTGATCACAACAACAACACACAACACAACCACTGCAAGTCGAGGTCGCCGGACAGAAACTCACGTATAAGAACCTACGAGAGAGACAAATCAGCCGCACAAGCTCAAGGTGCCACCGAAAGAAAGAAACATGGGAAAGGAGAGAGAGCGGGGACAAGAGATAGAGGGCGGTGTGTCCGACTCAACTTCTGTTTGTTCCACAATGGTGGACAAACCACTACGCAGGAGGAAAATGGAACGGGTGCCAATAACAACATGTTCCTCCTCCTCCTCCTCCGCCTCCTCCCATTCTCCCAAGCACCCCTTACACTTGCCCCCTCTCACTTGCTTGTTCCCCCGTATTGGTTCCTCTTCCCCCCCCATGCTGGCTCTCCACCATACTCCCCACCCCCGCTCCTTCCCCAGTTCCCTCCCACTTGCACTCGTCCTGTTTTTGTTGGCCGGCAGCCAGGCCCGCAACGTCCGCTGAGCCGTTCCCATAAAACTCAAGGAAGCGCTGGGCTCGCGCACTGAACATCCGCCCGTCGCATCCAGAAGGAACAGACTGCTGCCGCCGTGAAAACAGGGGTGGGTTACGAAGTGGTTATACAAGCACTGGTACCTAGAAAGACAACGTTCCCCAACCACTATCAATGCTTCTTCGCCTCTCTGATAAGCCGTTTATCCGCATCCGTTGTCACGGCGGCCTCCTACGGCAGGGCGCGTTGGCCCAGATGCCGTCCCACGCCGTGAGTCCCACCGCAATCACACATTGCTGATGAACCATATAGCACAAGCGGGCCTATCGCCATCAGCACTCGCACTCCTATGGTCACCCCACTCCGCTGCTGGCCAATCTTGCGATCGTGCGCATTCGCAATGCGCGACCGTCAAGCTGTGCCCGAGGCCATGGTGGGTGGATTACTTTGCCCTTTGGCCGGCAATATTTCTCAGATTATGGATTCCCCGTTTTTGATGCCTCCTGGACCTCCCGCGTCGCAACCTCACCCGAGGCCGCACTACGGAGCCCGATATCGGCCTATGGGACTTCTCGCGTCCACTTCTTGCGTCGTGGTCGTGAGCGGGGCGAGAGAAACACTTTCTGTAGTCGCGGCGACTTGGGCCCAAGACGCGATCGGGACAGCCGAAGGACGTCTCGGGGCCAAATGAGGCACAACAGAACAGGAAAGGCGCGGAGAGGAGGCGGGCCGAAAAACACAGCGCGTCATGGCGGTGCCGTGTGTGTCAGGACTGCTGGTGTGACAAGGCATGCTACCCAAAAAACTGGCCCATATGTGTGTATATATAACTATATATATATATATGAATTATGGCTCGCCCCGAGAACACGTGGAATTCGGCTCGCGGCTTGTAATTTTAAGAATGGTTAAGCCTGCACCGTGTCAACAGCGGCCTGGCTTCGCAATATTTTTGCATGAATTGAACACTTGTCATTACCACTTGGACGCTTCATACGTTTGCACACATATTTGTATACATTTCCACACACACATATGAATCTACATGAACATATGTTTATGACTATACATCTGCGGATATTCCCACAATCGTGTTTCCGCTTCGCGGTTTTTAGGTGTGGAATAAAAAGGTGGGGCTGGGCGTCGGTCTGGCGGTTCCGTGGTTGCCGTCGCCGCCCCGTGGCCGCCCGTCGTCAGGGCATGGGCATCGGACTGGTGGATCTGTGGTCGCCGTCGCCGCCCCGACGCCGCCTCGTCGCCGCCCGTCGCCGCCGGTTGGCGGCTATGCTGTCGTCGTCACCGCCCCGTCGCCGCTTCGTCGCCGCCTGTCGTCTGGGCCTGGCCGCCGGTCTGGCGGCTATGTTGTCGCCGTCGCCGCCCCGTCGCCGCACGTCGCAGGTTTTCTCTCTTATATAAGAAAACGGATATGCCCCCCCATCCCCTTCTTCATCGGTTGTCCCTGGGATACTGCGTGTTACATACGATTCTGTCCTTGCCCCGTCGTCATTTCGAAGTGTGAACTCAGACCATCTCAAACACGGCCGTTATTGCGGGGACAGCAAAGGACCACAACCACATCGAGGACACGTCCTGGGGGATGTTTTGCGCATGCCCGAAAATCACAAAAACCTCGGAACGAATTTCGTACTGGTTGTGGTCGATATGGGCGCCCCGAACGGCCAAATCGACCACAACCACCAGCAAAGTGCTCATGTCGAGATCGGCGGGTTCTCTCTCGCAAGGCCTTTCAGATAAGTCCACTCATATGTGGATGTGGTTCCTTGTTGCGCCCCGGATCATCGGCCCCCCGCTCATCCGTGTTGAAAAAATTATCGGGCACACTGGTTATCAAACTCATCAGTCCGGTAACACGAAAACATCCCTTGCACAAGACTGGACGAAATTCGCACGCGCACGTCGTCGCGCGCGCATGCGGGAATGCGTCGAATCGTGGATGTTCTAATCGAGTCCCGAAAACCTATAACAGCACTTGGTTGCGCAACGTGGTTTTTCATAGAAAAGACTTGCGCGCGTTCTGGCGAAATCATGAAGAAACCATCGGCTGTTGCTCAACATGCTCATCGCATGTGACGGCTTAAGCAGGCTTCTCGCGCGCGCATCGCGAAATCATTCGAACGCCCTTTGCACGGGTCCTGGGGGGCACGATCCTTGTCAAATGATACCACGCGGACCTCTCGCGCCCGTCGGCCGCGCGCGCATGTCGACATCCACCATCCATCTCAAACGTTCACCACCAACACGTGGACACCATAATCGCCGTTGGCGCGATCAGCATCGGCGCCGTCATTGGCTGTGCCTTCGCTTGTATGGCTGCAGCGATGCCCCAGCCAGCGCCAAGCACTCATCGCAATCGCCGCAACATGGGTTTTGCAAACCAACTTGCGGGTGAGTGGGTGAGATGATTGCGCGAGCAGTGGAGTTGACGACTTCAAGTTCGGCACGGTGAACGCCTTTTGACAAGCGAATTCGGAACCACCACCCCAAGTCTTATCGAGCCCCATGGGGGTGTTCAGCTTACATATGAGTGTGCCCCCCTTGTCAAATATAAGTATTAACTCGTACCATCCCAGCCGAACCAATATCGGCACCACCCCCAATGTCGTCAGAGAGTTCTATGTGCGCACATGTGCTCGTCAAACGTCATCAATTTGCAAGACACCTTCTGCAAACGAGGGGACGATGTGAATTCACGCGTGTCGTCGCGTGCGCATGCCGAAATGCTTCAAATTCCGCAGGGGATTCACAATCGACTGCCCCGAAAACACATAACAGCACATGGTTTCTCAATGACTTATCCACAAAGACATCACGAGAAGTGCTGGGGGGCACGGTCTCTGTCAACTAAAACCACGCGGCTACTCGCGCCCGCCGGCCGCGCTCGCATGTCAGCATCCGCTGCCCCCTGGTGGCTTGCCACACGGGGGCCCAGCGTGCGGAACTTCAAGAGGTCTCTGTTTGTTAAAGAACTCATCCTTGGGCTTCGGCCGATGCCGCTGGCCACCTGGAAGGCCGCGCCAGCCGCACTATCCACCGAGCAAGTTTGTCAGATCGCCTCTAAAACGGCCAAGGTGCCCTCGATGTGCCTCCTCGGCGACCAACATGGCCCAAACAGAACCACAGACGAGCCCAAGATGCATCCGAGACAGCACAGGAGGCCCCCAAGCGGCCTCCAAGACGGTCCAAGAGGCCTCAAGAGGCGCTCCAAAAGGCCTGAAGACACCCAAACCACTGATTGTCCGAAGGCTTTGTAAGTTTTGAAAGTCCTTGGCGATTGTTTCAAAACGGCCGTCCGGACGGTCCACGAGGCCCCGGCAATCGCCCCCAGAACGCCTAAGAACCCTCCAAGACGGCCCGCTTGTCGAGGATATCTCGGGCGAAAGCTACATGTTCAACATAAGCGGTCTAATCACAAATATTTCGGCATCTATTTCCCAACCATCCTGTGGTGTTGGGCCCTCGTATTTAAGAGACAGCGCCGCGCGTCCCTCCTCCTCCTCCTCCTCCTCCTCCTCCTCCTCCTCTCCTCCTCCCCCTCGCCCCTCCCTCCTCCCATCATCATCATTCGCATCGTCGTTATCGTGAGCGTCGTCATCAAGATCATCAACATCATGGCCGCCATCATCATCACCCTGGCCGCCATCGACGAGCAGGTGCATAGGCCTCCTCGTGGCCGCTCGTCGGAAACCCGTCCTCCTCATCCCCGGCTTAGTGTCTCCCCTGAGTGAGGGGGGTAGGCTGTGGTGGGACTGTGCCTTTCCTTTCTTCCCTTCTCCCTCGTTCGCTTTCCTTCCCTTCCTTCCTTCCTTCCACTCCGCTTGGCGCCACCCCCAGGTCGGGGCGCGCGCCCGGCCGGGCCGCGCGGCGCGGGCCCTCATAGGCCGGCGGGCTGTGCCCGCGTGCTCCTCTCTCCTCCTCCTCCTCCCCCTTTCCCTCCCTTCTCCGCTCCTCTCTCCTTGCGGTCCCAGATCTCGCCGCGGTCCACTCCCCCGCCGGGGTTTCGGGTTTCCTGGTGGTGTGCTGTTTCAGGGTGAGGGGATGAGGACAATCGACGCGGCTAACCCCAACCCCATTCGGGGTGCTCCCTTGTGTGCCTAATGTTAGAGGACTGATCGTTGCTGCTGTGGAAGGGCCCTCTTGATTGTGCTCGGGTCGGCCATCCTCTAAGCAGTCCGGATTGTGGTGGGGGCGGGCAGTCGTCCGGAATTGCGCTTCCCATAATTAGAAATTATGGGAAACGCAATTCCGGCTCATTGAGTACGGTTCATTTCTGGAAAATCCCATTTGAACCGCATTCGCGTCCCCGAAGCCACGACCTCGTAAATTAAACTGTTTCGATCCTTCGAGGCCACGCTTCCCTAGAAAATGTGCGAAACTCGCGCCTCCGAAACCACGATTCCTCGCACATGACTCTACGTTCGCGCCCCCGAGGCCACGGTCGCCCGCAAAATAAGCCGAAGTCGTGCCCCCGAGGCCACGACTCTTCGGAAATGATTGCTATCGCGCCCCCGAGGCCACGATCCTTCGCAAACTAGGCCTCGCTGGCGGCCCCGAAACCACGATCTCGTACAAATTACCCTGAATTCGCGTCCCCGAAGCCACGATCCTTTGAAAATTATGTGCGCCAGCGTCTCGATATGCGGCGATGATTCCTGTTCGCCCCCGTATGGTGTTCCCAGGTGCGCCAAGGCAGCGCCGGAAAACACCGACGCGACTCTGATATTTCCCACTCTGATAGAAAGGGGGCCGACGGCATGGGGCGAAGCCCTTACGGCCTTACGGATTATCACATCGGCGGGCGTCAAGGCACGAAGGACAGCAGGAGGGAAGCGCAGGGGCGAAGAGAGGGAGGCGTCGCTGGGCTCTTCGACGGATGCATCGTCGGCCAAGGACCTCGTGGCGAAGCTCGTGGCAAGGGGATGGCGGGATGCCGCTGGGGTCCCACCGCATTGGGGAGACGTCGCAATCGTTGCCTACGTGACCTGTCGTCACATCCAGCAGGGAAAGGGCTGGGGCAGACCACGGAGAACAGGTGGGTGAGACGGGCCCAGCTGTGTTCAGGACGGGCCTGACCGAGATCGGTATTGGGCAGACGTCCGACGTCGTGATTTTGCACACCCTGGACCACCTGAACCCTCGACCCTTCTCCCAGGACCGCCTTTTGGCCCTGACTCGTTCCTTGACGGCCCTGGCTGCCACCGGACGAAACTTGTCAAAAGCCTCCACGCTGCGATCTTGCTCACGACGCGGGGGGGTCCAAGGGGGCCAAGTGCTGGAGCGGGGTACGACACGGTGAGACAAGGGAGGGGGCCTGGCAAGGAGGTCGTTGCGGCTTCGGCCGCCCCGTCGACGGTCCACTCGGCGCGCGCTTGGCCGATGGACTTGACGCCCATGATCAATGCAAGTGCGCCGTCGGCCTCCCGCGCGATTGGAGGTCACGGCGCAGGACACTCGGCAGACTTCTCGGCGCCTGCCTCAATGACGATAGCTGGAGCTGCTGTGCCGGACGCGAATGCCTCGGTCGGGCGCTCGAACGCCGCGGGAGCAGAGGTCAGGTCAGACGAGAAGGGGGGGAGGGGGGAGCGAAGCAGCCGACGCAGCTGGATTTCCCGGAGCCTCCCGACGCGGGAAGCGCCAGTGCATCCGAGAAAACACTGGGCAGAAGGCCGCAGCCAGCTGCATGCAAAAGATTACGTAGCCTTCCATTTCCCCACCCCCTGCTCAAGGAACGGCCTGCGCCACAGGCTGTCTAAGGTGTCGTGTGCGTACACGTCCGTGGCCAATCCGAGCTACAACAGCGTTGATCAAACGATGAAGAGCGTTGATCAAACGATGAACAAACGATCCCTTGAGTTTACTCTCTTGTTGGCTGCGCCTGAACGATGAAGAACCCGATGGCAACACAAAAAACTTGAGTTCCAACAACACTGCCTCAATGTTGTGCCACTTTCCGGTACGGCCCGAAAACCGAAGTATGCAAAACGTCAGGGCCATGACGGGCAATGCGGTCGTCGCTGCCACGCGCATCACAAACACAATGGAAGGACACACGTTCATCAAGTGATCAAATTGCTGGCGACCGTAACAATCGGGTTCACAGCCGCCAGCATTGAGGAATTCTCGCGATGCCGCTGCCCATGGTACTTTCAGCCAGGATTCAGCAGAGTCAGTCCAAGAACCTGCGCTGACACTTGCAAAGATATACAAACGTGCGTTCGTCATGGAGAATCCCAGACGGTGAATGATTGCTCGCATGATGTGAAAGCTGCGCGCTGCGAGTTTTGAAGCGCAGCTCTAATTACTGGAACAAGTATGCATGTGAATATGTGCAACAAGTAGTTCTGTACACATTCGCATTGTGCCAGCTATCTGGTGAAACACCACGTGGCGCGAGCCTATGTCGTTCGAGCTGTGTGGCACAGTGTGTGTGTGGTGCAATCTGCGTGGTGGGATTGGTTTCGACCTTTCTGAAAGCGTCAACGCAACTGCCATGATTGCGGTTGCCGATCTCTGCAGCCGCACTGGTGCGCGCACGCTCGCGCGCAGATCGGCCGACACAAGTGATGCAGCCGCGATGGCGATTACGGATGTGAGCTTCCCAGCGCGTCTCAAAGGAGAGCTGGCGCTCGGTCGTTCCACTGCGGGTTGGTGACTCGGACGTGCGCGACAACATGATGACGCCGACAGAGGCGGCAACGAGTAACGATGATGATACTCTCGATGGCGGTGGCTGCGATGACGACGACGGCAAGGCCAATGACGGTGCTGGTGCTAATGACGATGACGATGGCGATGATGATGATGCCCATCTGCCGATGTTGAAGATGATGGTGGTGATGGTCGCGACGATGGCGGCGACTAGCGATGTCGATAACGGCGGTGATGCAAAGGCGATGATGGGTGATTAGGAAATGAGCGCGCGCACGCATCCAAAGCATCTGGCGGACCTCTCGTGAAAGAAACACACTGCTAATCATATGGAGGCCAAACAGTGGTTTCTGGACCTCGGGATGTGGATGTTACGTGGCTCCACTTTGTAATGCAATCTACGCAGCTCAATGCTTGAAAGCATGTACAAATACTACAAATACGTGGTGCAAACTATCTGGTGAAATACGCGTGGCGCAAGCTATGTTGCACACACTTTGTGGCGAAATGTATGCGTGATGCAGTACAAATAACGAAATTAGCTAATGATTGCAGAGGATGCAGTCGCCAACTCGAATGTTCGCGCAATCATCCGGCCCTCCCACCCGCAACTTGTTTCGCGCTTGCGCTTGCGGCTGCCGATTGTGCACTGCTGGCGCGTCTGTGCGGCCGCACTGGCGTACGCCCACTCACGCGCAGGTCGGCCTGCTGGTTTGGCACAGATGATGCAGCCGCAAAGGCAATTACCGATGGAAACTTCTCAACGAATCTCAAACACCACGTTCGCGTGCGGGCACTTTTCAGTCTGGGTCGGTGACGGCGGGCGCGATGTCATGGGCCGCGCTGGCGCGCGCCCGCTCAAGCGCAGGTCGGCACATGATGTTGCCACGATGGCCCTTACCGATGGGAAATTCCCGATGCGTCTCAAATATCGCACTGGCGCCCGGCACTTCAGCCCAGGTTTGCGACTCGGGTGGGCACGACGCCATTATGAAGTCGACAACGGCGGCGACGTCGACATTGACGATGGCGGCCATGATGAACGATGGTGGTGATAATGCTGATGATGATGGTTATGATGCTGATGCTGATGCTGATGCTGATGCTGATGCTGATGATGATGATCGACCGTACCTGAGGCGAGCCAGTTCGCACGCATCGTCAGCCGCTTTAGATGAAAGTGGCGCGCTGTGCTGCTGCGACGGCGGCTCGCTGTTGGCTTGGCGCGAGCTGGTCCCCATGGGTCGCCGCAGCCCTCGCCTTGTGGTAGGTATATAATGCCAACACGGCCATTCGCAGCGCACCAGCGCGCGGGAACGTGCGGCTCTCGCGGTTGCATTCGTTGTCGGCCGCTAGGCCTGGGAAAGTCTGATGGTAGGAGGGGAGGCCAAAGAGGAAACGGCGGACGGGGCAGGAAAGATAAAGGGCGATGGAGTCAATCTGGGCGGACCCAAAAAGGCAATTAGCGAACTCACGCTCGTGGCTTCGATGGCTGGTTGTCCAGCCAGCTGCGATGGTCTTCATTATTGACCACTGCCAAGCAGGTCTGTACTTCTTGATCGTAGCAAGACACCCCCCCCCCACCGCTCCGCCACGCCGCCCACGACGCTATCAACAAAGCCCCAAGCGTTCAGACGCGTGGAAATAGTGACTTCAAGTTTATTGGGGAGGAGAAAGAGGCGGAGGAAAGAGGGGACCGTATGCTGGAGCTTGGGCTTCTTGCCCACCGCTTGCGCCGCACGAAATACCATGCGGCCTGTTGCATGCAAGGCTCCCCGCTGGACAATCGGGATGCCACAGTGGGGTGGACGATTCACTAATTCTGCGAAATGCTGGGCGATCCCCTGCTTCTGGATCCAGCGGGGTGCGCTCCACTCTTGTTTGATCCATTCTTCGATGGGGCAGGTCAGCGGCACCGATTCGCGCCACCTGTCGAGCTCTGCTGCCCATTCAGTGCTCGCGAGAGTGGAGCAGCTGCAATTACTAGCTGCACCTAGGATCAGGGCAGACTGAGGGGCCACTAAATCGTGTCCCCAGAAAGAAAAACCATCAGCTTTGCAAAACGAGCAGGCCCTACGGCAACCAGCACGGACTTGACGAGAATGCGCTTCAGCTGTAGGTTGGTCTCCAGGTCGCTGTGCAGCTTGTGCTGCTCGGGCAGCACGTAACTGAATGGCTCGTGCATGTTTGTCGCCAGGTCGATATGGTAGATGCTGAGGCTCATCTCGAGTTTGACGAGCGACCACGGGCATGAGATGTTTCATGTATGTCCACTTCCGTGCAGGCGAGGACCTTTCCAGTCCATTCGCGTTCATGAGGCTGTCGAGTATGATCTTGTACCGGTCCTCCGTGGAGACCACTTCTGGGATGCGCAGCGCTTCCTCTGGGATGTTCTGCTTGGCTCTAAAGGAGGCGTGGCTGATGGAGAGGTCGCTCAGGCGCGACTGGGCCATCTCCACTGGGTCCATGGCAACAGAGAGGTGGATGTCCGTGACAATCAGGTAATGCTCTGGCGTATTTACAAGGAGTCTATCGATGGTCGCTGCTGTGTATTGCTGTCTGCTGGAATATGTTGGCCCCTCCGTTCTGATCTCCTGCATAGAGTCAAATAGGGAACGCCAGAGGGCTTCAGCATGTTGGTATGTATGATGTGTCCGTAGCTGGGCCTGGTCAGGTATCGGGTAATCATAGGACATCGGAACGCCTTCACGGATGTTGATGTCACCTATCGCGATGAGCGTGTGCTCAAGATGATTGCTGCTTGCCCATTGAATATTTTCCATCCATCTGCTATTGATAACATTCTTATCGTTCAGGGAAATGTTGTAGCTCCTGTTGCTTAATAGACAGTTGCGTGACCCTGCCTGGCGCAAGCACTTCAAATTCGAGAGACGGTCTGGTATCTGCATCGCCGGTGAGCCACGGCACCAGGAATGCCACTCCACCCCTTCGTGCATTGCCAGCGCGCTCAGCATCGGGTAATTCAGATGAATACTGTGATGATTCTTCCGCCTGTGAGCGAAAGACCTTGTAATTGTATGGAGAAGAGGCAACCATAACTTCTAGCTGCTGTCGATCACCATGCGTCTCCTGAATCATGATGAGAGCGGATGCCTTCATGGACCTCTCCATCTTGCGCAGCTTGTACTTGCGGCGACGATACTTGTAGTAGCACAGGTCATGATAAGTCCACGATACTACTTGGCCACGATGATCTCTAGCCTGTTGTAGCCACGGGCTCCAGTGCCTATTAAATAGACCACCGCGATGTATCTGTGGCCAAGAAGAGCTGTTGAAACTGATCTGTAAAAGTGATCTTGTCGATACCCATCTGGTGGGCGACTGCGATGTTCCACCTGAGTTTTGTGGGTGCGCTGGCGCTGTCTCCAACCTCGAGAACCACATGGGGAATTGAGCTGCAAGAGACAATACCTTCGTCTCCGACTCTTCTGAAGTGGTGATTGCCGTACTTGTCCGCCAGGAGCCTGACCAATCTCTTCGTTTGTAGCTATCGCCGAAGTGTTTTAGGAACTTGTCCGCGTTGATGTAAAGGGGGGTGAGCGCGCCAGAAGTGTTTGGAGCCGAGAAATTACGCCACTGACCTCCTGCTCTGAGATTCCGCGCGAGTGAAAGACTGCGTGAGGTGGCTGCTGGTCCACCAAGGACTCTGAGGAAGAAACGCCGTGCAGGAACGTCGCCGATGAGCTCGACATCGTTGGTGGAGACGCCTGCTGCATTGATCCAGGGTTCAAGCGCTCGCTTGACCTCTGCGGGTTGTATGGCCGATGGCGCTCCAATAGTGTAGAGATGGGGGTCTGGAGGTCGATCCCAGACTGCCAGAGCTGCCATGTCAAAGGCGGGTAAAGTAGCTTCCGCCATTGCCAATTGCGATTGAATCCGTTCCACGTCTTGCCGCATTTGTTGTTGTTCCTGCTCCGCTGTGTGTGTACGCTGGTTAAGTTCTCGTACTGAGGTGTCGAGGGCGTCCATCCTGCCGCCATGCTGTCGAACGTGTCCGAGTACGAGCTGAAGTTCGCCTTGAAGGGCTTGCTGGGCGTTGCGAATGATGGCCTCGGATTCGTTCTGGAGCCTGGCGGTGGCGGACTCGATCTGGGAGGTGAAGAGCTGGCTGAGGCGCTGCTCCAGCGAGCTGTCGTCGTGCACGAATCCATCTCCAGGTGGGGTAGCCTCGCCCGCAATTGGAGTCGCTGGTGCCATTCCTGCAGGCGTTGCAGTAGGCGTGCCGGATGTTGTAGCCGCCTCTTCTGCAGCACGCGCGGGGGAGACCCCGGAAGCTGGTCCCGGTGGAAGCTGAGACCCCGTCCACGGGTCCTCTTTTTGTAGTGCATCTTCGCCTCTCGGATCGGTTCTTGAACTGGCTGCCCTTGCTGCTGTCGCGGTCGAGGGTCCTCCGCTGCGCGTTGCCCTGCGCGTAGGCGTAGTAGCTGTGGCTGTGCCTGCTCGGCCCGCACGTGGGGGATGAGCTCGTTGAGGATGCCCGCTCTCCTGTTCACGGGGGGTTTCACGTTCACGTTCAGTTCGCCGTCTACCCCGATCTTGAGAAGGAGGGCGTTCAGATCTATGCTTATCACTTCGTTGACCTCTGTCACTACGAGAGTGGCTGCCGTCTCCTCTGCCCTTGTCCCTGCGTTCTCGTACTCGCTCTTTGCGTGGCCGTCGACGTCGATCCTTGGAAGCTGAGGAGGAACTGCTGCCGCTACTTTCGCTGGATGTCATTGCGAAATACTCTGCCGTTGTGGGAGGTCAGGCGGGACGCTGTGCAGCGCGGTGTCGTTGTAGTCGTTGCAGATTGTGGGCCGCTTCTCGCCAGCGACCTGGGACACGATATGGAAGCCGTCGAAGCTGATGCTGTTCTGGCTCTTCGTCAGGAGGTACTCAACTGACGGAATGAATATGGAGGCGCACACAGTAGCGAGTACTATGGCAAGAACACTTGGGCGGCCGCTAGCCCCTGGTTGTGGCGGCAGAAGAACTGGAAGCTCTGATGGGAGCCTACCCCGCTGAGGCAGTGGAATGGAAGCCATTTGGCCTTGAGCCAAAATGGCTACGGATGATGATGATGATGATGATGATGATGATGATGATGATGATGATGATGATGATGATGATGATGATGATGATGATGATGATGATTATGCTGGAAATGATGATGCTGATGGTGATGATGATGCTGATAATGCTGATGATGATGCTCATAGGGAGGATGATGGTGTTGATGCTGGTAATGATACGATGGTACTGCTTATGCTGACGGCACTGATGAGGATGATTGGAAAGTGTGTGCGCCTGTTGGAATCAAGCCATCCTGAAATGGTCTCGACGTGCGTACTGGATAGGGACCCATTGGACAAAGAATCCTGGGTCTGGGAGCCGACGGAACTCCAATAAGCTAAGGAATCGCGGCTGCCCTCATCAGATAAGGAACCTACATTGTCTGACTGAAGCCTCCTGGGCACATCCCTCAACGAGCGCCCCCAGCGCATGTCAGGGTCTTGAGGCAGCCGCCCTCGCCCTGCACCCCGCCCGAGGCGCCCTCCTGCTGCAGGGTGGCGAGGGAGTTGCGCACGGCGGCCTCGATCTCGGCCGCCTCTCGCACCTCGTCGGGAGAGGCTGGCAAGACAGCCCCAGGCAGCCAACGTCGCGGGCCGCACGTCCAGACACGCTGGCGCCCTGGAACAATAAACACGACTACAAGCTGCAGACGCAAGCGTGGGTCTGCAAGGCGGGCGCGTGCGGTCGCTGGGCGAGCGTAAGGGCACGCGAAGAGTTTCGGCACGGCCGCGCAGAACAGGGCGCCCTGGCCGACTCGAGCCCAGGAGCCGCCGCGCAGCGACAGCGGCGACGACAGCGGCGGCGACTGCGTCGTCGAGGACGGCGCAGGCGACCACGATAGCGGCGGCGGCGGCGGCAGGCACGGCGGCGCCTGCGGCGGTCACGGATGCGAGGACGGCCGTGACGACCGCGGCCAGGGCCTCGACGGCGACGGCTGCGGCAGCGACGGCGACCACGGCAACCAGCGACTACGGCGGCGGTGGCACCGATCGGGTGGACGCCAGAGGGGGGCCCCTGAAGTGGTGGGGGATGGAGAGCGGCCCCGAAGCAATGGCCATCAGGGGGCCCTAAAGGGGCCCCTGGACGGCCACCACGGCCCTCAAAGGTGCTGGCAAGGCGTGCCTGTCGTCCGCCCCCCGCCCATGTCCTCGAAAGTGGGCCCCGCGCTGGAGCAAGACAAAGCGGCTGCTGCTTCTAAGCGCCCGTCAACCCCGTGGACCTCATGCCAAAAAAACACCAGGGGGTCAGCGCTGGCCACCTCTCATGGGCTGATCCCAGAAGCTTCGAGTCTTCGCGCTGATACTGAGTGCAACTTTAGGCGGGCGCTCCAGACGATCCTCCAGGGGTCGACGCAAATTCGAGTGAGGTGACACTTGCACTTGCAAGGCTTTGCGATCATTGTTTCGTTCATTTCGAAGACGTTCCAGAATCGTATCTGCGTTGATCGTCGATCTCATCTTTCAAGGGTGGGCGCTCCGAAACCGCTACGCACCAGACCTCTCCCAGGGTGCATTCTGACCAGAAGGTCGGGGCGAATCCAGCCGTGGCGACGAGGGCCTCCAAAGAACCCCCACATAGACGAAAGCAAGGGAAAGGCAACGGTATCGGTACCTCTTTCTCCTTTGAGTTTACAGCAACCGTTTACTCCCGCCCGTTGCCGTCCGCCCGAGACGATAACGACGATAGAGGCTTCCCAGATGTGGTCCGAGTAGACGGGGTCGAAGGATTGCGCCGCATCGCCGATGCATTGACAACGCACAGACGATGCATCGATGATGCGACGTGGGCGGTGCATTGGCGACGCCAGCGTGAAGAACATCGGGCTCCACATCGAGCCGCATCGCCGATACATCGACGATGCAGCGCGATCTTCCGACACCAGTCACTCTGACCCTATTTAAGGGACCTAGAGTATACTCCTCCCCAGACCCCGACGTCATGTTTTTTTCATGACGTGGACCCCCTGAGGTCAAGACCGCTTCCTGGAGACAAGATGCACATCCTGGGTAAAATTGCTGACGGTCCTGGACCCCTGCGAGGTCCATCAAATGCCGGAAACTGCCCAAAACTGCCCAAAACCTCCTGTCATTATTTGCTCGTGGCCCGAAGGGGTTGGGGTCGAAGTGTTACCACCGCCGGAAAGCATTCTGATTCGCGACGTTAACAAAGTGGGGGGGGGGGGCAGGGGAGGCATAACAGAACGCCCCCGCCCACCACCGTGACAGAGTCTATGGTGCCAGACGCACTGCGGAAGCGCCCAGGACGCACTGGGGGGGGAAGCGTGAAGGAAGTCATGGGGGGGAGGGAATGGGGGGGGAGGGGACAAGGGGGGCCACAACCCGCGTTATGGCCAGAGGACGAAAAAGCACTCTCCCGCCTACTCCCCCACCCCACCTGAGGCGAAGCCAGGATGAGGATAACATCGGGTGAGGTCAAATCGAGAATCTCTGAAATATCCTCGTCCACCAGACATGCGACGTGCTGTTTTTGTCCATACGCGATCCCCCGGAATCCCGACCCTGTCCGTGGGGCCAGTTTTTCATCGTGCATCAATGTTTGACGGTCCCGGGGCCAGGTGAAGACCCCCAGAGGCCCAAAGCGAAGCAGAACCTCCATCTGTATTTCTTCACGACGCGAGCACGTGTGGGCCTGGCCCCGTCCGACCACCCCCCGCCGCCGTCTTCTCGGACCGGCCGACGACGAGGCCGCCGCACCCCGCGGCCGCCGCGCCGCCGGCCGCCGGGGCGGCCGCCGCTCGCGCCGGCGTCGGGCGGGCGGTGGCCGCTGCCGCTGCTGCCGCCGCGGTGGTCCTGGAAGTACCTGCGCGCTGCGGCGACGCCGACGAAGACGACGACGACGACGACGACGACGACGACGACGACGACGACGACGACGACGACGACGACGACGACGACGACGACAACGGCAACGACGACGACGACGACAACGACGGCGACGACGACGACGACGGCGACGACGACTGCGGCGACTGCGGCGACGGCGACGGCGGCGCAGGCGACAGGGCGCGGATCAGCGAGCTGGCGGGCCAGCGGGTCGGGCGGCCGCCCATTTTTGTTGTCGTCGTCGTCGTCGTCGCTGTGGAGCAGGACGGCTTGCTGGACCCCATATCCGCTTTAGCGATCTCGCCTCGGGGCCGGCAGCATTTCCTTTGCTATGAAAGCTCACGTTCAAGCGTGCCGGGGTTCCGCCCAAACCAGCCCCCAAAAACAACAACAGCAACAGCAATCATTTTAAGACTGTTCGCTCATATCTGTTCACGTGCCAATCAATACGTATATCCCAAGCCAAAGGTACCCGCCCTCGCCGAGAGAAGTTAGCAGGAGTGTGGCAAAGAGCAGAAAACAAGTGGTAGAACCAGACGGGCAGATCGGGAAGGCAGACCCATAGCGGGCAGGTCGGGAAGGCGGGCCCAGGCGACGAGGTCGAGGAGGCGGGTTGCTGAAGCGTGGGTCCTGCATGGATCACGAGGAAGTCTCGATCGACAGCGCGATTCACAAGTAAATCGTGGGAAAAGCCAAAGCGAGAGCGTGATTCCTGAGCGCCGAGGGCACACCGTGTGAATAAACCGCTGGGGTGTCCCACGCGAGAGCGCGATGCGAGCATGAATTGTGAGGAAGTCCCACGCGAGAGCGCGATTGGGGAATAACTTGCCAAGAACTATCAGTCGGGAGCCGCTGTTGTTGCACATCGATGGGCCAGGGGCCCGGTTTGAAACCCGTGACTTTCCATGATAAAAAAAACAGGGTGCGAGCCCGGGGGAAGCACTTCAATTGAAAAACACAGAATGGTCACCGGAGGGGGGATCAACAATACTTCTTCTTCATTAGAAAGAGTTCCACACCAACAATTGTTTTAAGACTGTTCGTATTTACCTGCTCGAGTGTCACTAAACGCGTATTTCCCAAACCCTCGTTACCCGTCCGCGTCGTCTTCGATCGTGTCCTCTTTGGGGGGTATATCTTTCTTCCCTGCAGGCTGGGCCCGGGCAAGCGGCGGGGCGGCCGCGGACCGTCGGCCTGGCTCGCGGCAGCGCTGACCAGCGACAACCCGACCCCAAGAGTGACGGACAGGGGACCGACCACGACGACGACGACGACGATGGCAATGGCGACGGCGACGAGCGAACGCGCGAGCGAGAGCGACAGCGGGGCCACGAAGGGCAGTGATGGGGCAACGAAGGGCAGCAAGGGGGCAACGAAGGGCGACAGCGGGGCCACGAAGGGAATGCGTATGGGACCACGACGGGCGCGAACGAGCGGGGGCCACGAAGGGCAGATAATGCGGGGCCACAGAAGGGCAACGACGGGGCCACGTAGGGCAGCGAGGGGGCCACAAAGCGCGAACGAACGGGGGCCACGCAGGTCATGCGCATATTGGGCCGCAGTGGGCGAGGACGGGGCCAATGGGGGCAGCGACGGGACCACGAAGGGCAGCGAGGGAACCACGAAGGGCGACAGCGGGGCCACGAAGCGCATGCAGATGGAGCCACGAAGGGCGCGAACGAGCGGGGGCCACGAAGGGCATACAGATATGGGACCACAAAGGGCTGCGGGGAATGCCGCCCATGTTGGCACACCCCTCACACGATTCGTGGCCCCACAGGGAGCTCCACTAAACGCCTTACTGGCAAGGTCCGCGTGCGGGGAACGCCACCCATTTTGGCACACCCCTCACACGGTTTGTGGCCCCACAGGGAGCTCCACCGAAGCCCCCGTTGCAGGGTCCGCATGCGGGGGCCGCCACCCACTTTTGTACACCCCTCACACATTTCGTGGCCCCACAGGGAGCTCCACTGAAAGCCCCCGTGGCAGGGTCCGCATGCGGGGACCGCGACCCACTTTGGTACACCCCTCACGCGGGTCGTTGCAACACGGGGAGCTCCACCGAAAGCCCCAATGGTAGGATCCGCATGCGGGACCGCCACCCATTTTGGCACACCCCTCACACGGTTCGTGTCCCAACAAGAAGCTCCACCGAAGGCCGCAGTGGCAGGGTCCGCAAGCGGGGACCGCCGCCCATGTTGGCACACCCCTCACACGGCTCGTGGCAACACAGGGGGCTCCACCGAAGGCTATAGTGGCAGGGTCCGCATGCGGGGACCGCCGCCCATGTTGGCGCACCCCTCACACGGTTCGTGGACCCGCAGGGAGCTCCACCGAAGGCTTCACTGGCAGGGTCCGCATGCGGGGACCGCCACCCATTTTGGCACACACCTCACACGGTCGTGGCCCCACAGGGAGCTCCACCGAAGGCCTTAGTGGCACAGGCCGCATGCGGGGAACACCCCCCACTTTGGTACACCCCTCATACGGTTCGTGGCCCCACAGGGAGCTCCACTGAAGGCCCCAGTGGCATGGTCCGCATGCGGGAACCGCCACCCATTTGGATACACCCCTCACACGGCGCGTGGTCCCACAGGGAGCTCCACCGAAGGCCCCCGTTGCAGGGTCCGCATGCGTCAACGCCATTCATTTCGGCACGGCTCGTGGCCCCACAGGGAGCTCCACCGAAGGCTCCAGTGGCATGGTCCGCACGCG